CCCCCTCCCTAGTGAGGCGTTACTGCGTTTGTTCCCACCCTCTTCTCCCGTCTGACACCCTGGAGCCAGAGAGAGAGAGCTAGGAGATGAAAGCTATCCCCCCCACTTCTTGTCTGGGGTGGATGCCCCCCATTTTTCATCTTGGGTCTCTGTCTCACAGAGGGAGGGGGCGCTGCCCGTGCCTTTTAACTTCGGGGGAGCTGCGTCCCTACCCCACCCTTCTCTGGGGTCCTGGGGGAGATGAGAACTGGCTGGGTAATAAGTAATTAATCTGGGAGGCTGGTTGGTGGGGGAGAAGAGGGGAAGATGGGAGTGCCTCATTTTGGGGAGGAGGTGACCACCTGATACTCCCCGATTGGCATTCTGGGGTGAGGTGTATCCCTAAAAAGGAAGGGTGGCAACTGCAGCTGCTTTGGGGTGCTCAAGAGACCCACCACTCTGACAGTGACCACTGTGCTTCTGGGGCCTGGAATTAGCTTTGGCGGTTGGGGTAAGTGGGTTTGGTGGTAACTGGGTTCAAGGTCCGACTAGGAGGGAAGGATGGAGTCAGACCATAGGAACAAAAGGAGGCAGGGGATGAGAGATCCAGGACTCTTAGCCAGAAGGACCCCTGACCAGTCTGCTTTGGAGGCTGGAGCCTGGAGCTGGGTCCTGCCCTGGGCCTCTTCAGGTTTAGAGGATGTAGGCAGGAAGGGTCCTCCGTTTGAGTTCTAGGCACCGGAGTTCCTCAGCCTGTGCTGGCTGTTGAGACGCTGGGCTGGGCTGGGGATGGTGGGTGAGCCATGTTGGGGGCTGCCTGCTTTTTCGTTTCAATCTTCCCTCCTTCCTCTTCCTCCTAAACGCAAAGCTTGGGGAGTTCTTGGTTTGCCTTCTGCCCCTTCTCTTGAAACCTCCCTTTGCTTTTCTTCCCTTGGACTTGATTGTGGGCTGTGTCCAGACAAGGCAGGCGGGGGTCTCTGAGTTAGAGGACTGGGTCCACCAGCATCTCCACTCTGTCCTGGGAAGGTATGCATGCGGGGGGCTGGAGAGCAGATGCCAGGTGCAGTTTACTGAGGGCAAGGACGGAGGACACGTTAGCTCTGTGCCAGCCTCCCCTTCCCAGTATACCCTCCTGTGTGGCTGGATGGAGTAATTGGTGGTGGTGGGGGGGTGCTGGCAGTATCACATGCCCCACCCACTCTTAAGTAGATGCAGAGACAAAGGTTTGCTTTCCCTTCCCTAGGGGTGGCATGTTATCTGTGTGTTTAGAAACTGGGCCTGGGGATGTTGGAGGGGGCACGGGTAGTTTGTGTTTCTGCAGGGGGGAGGGGGGCAACAGCTATAGGAGCTGGGGGGAGTGCAGTTGGTGCTGAAGTACCAGCTGCTCTTTAATAATTAATTCTTCCTACTCACATCCCTTTGAGGAGGGATGTCTGGAACACGGCATCAGGCGCAGCCAGCCTGCTAGAGGACGCACTCCTCTTGGTGGGGGGTGGGGGGGAGACGGCGAGGGGGGGGGCGGTTCTTGGCATTTTTGGAGCACTGTCGCTTGCTCATGAATGAAAACCTGATGCAGCCCGTGAGGGGGCCTATTGTAGCCGACTCTGGCTAATTAAACTTTCTCTGCCTTTCTTCTCCCCCACCCCACCTCACCCGAGCCCCAGCCCCAGCCCTTTCTTGAATGGGGACCCTGTCTGGTAGTACTGGTGAGGGGGTATCATTCTGCCTGAGGTTTTAGGGCAAACAGACCCGGTCTTCTGCCCTCTGCCTCGTCCCTCCCTCCCCTCTCACCACCCCCCCTCTTTTTTTTTCTAGAAATAGCAGCCTCCCTCCATCTGGCTTGTGCAGATGCCTGGAGCTGCGTCTGAGCAGACAAACAGAAATGGGCCGATTGCAAAAATGAATTTGTCAGCCTGGTGCCTTTTTTCCTCCCCTGTCGCCCTCGCCCCTCCCTTAGTTTGGGCCTTGACATCCAAGTCAGCCACCCCTCCTGGCTCTGATCAGCCTCCAGGCTTCTGTTGGGCCAGCTTGGGGGAAGGCTCCAGGCTGGGGAAAGTGATCGGCCGGGCCCTGGTCAGGAGGGGTCAAGATGAGAGTTCCTTTGTGCCTTGGGATGGGATGTTTGGGCTTGTGGCTTTCTGATGAAGACTTTGGGGGCACATCTCAGACTGGGAGCAGTCTCACAGGATTTGGTTCCGACAGCTCACCTGGGAGGGGAGGGGTCCCCGGCCGGCCCCAGTGCTCAGGGCTTGTCTTGAGCAGGGCTGGAGCTGGTGTGTTGGGAGAGGGGACGGCTTCGTGGTGGTGAAGTTCAGGTTCCTTGAGGGATGAGATACCTGTGGGGCCGCATTGTGAACTTGAGGCTTTTGAGGCAGTGCATCCTCCGTCTGTCCCTCTCTTGTCTGCCCTTCTCCTCCCACCCTCCACCGGAGATTGTATTGCCTGTGAATGGAGTGGGGCGTATCACCCTAGGGTGTTTTGCCCTTCCTCCCCCGGCTTAGCCATGAGCTTGTAGGGTGAGATGCACCTGGTTTTCTGCCTTGTAGGGTGAGATGCACCCTGGCTGGAGGTGGGAGGTGGGTTTGGATCCTGGAATGGGACAGAGGTCTCACTGGAAGACAAGAGTTCTCAGGGGGTGTGGACAGGACCCTGGGGTCTGCCTGCTTGTGATGTCATGGAAGCCAGGCTGCTCACTGGTTTGGTATCAGAGTGCCAGGAGTCACGGAGCTCTTGGTCCCCAGCTGCCCCCTACCCCCGACCTTCCTATAACAATAGTCAGCAGTGAGTTTCTTTGGCTGAGGAGGGAACAGACAGCTCAGGTTTTCACCATTAAGCTCCCATTTTCCCCCTTCAGCCCTTCCCCCAACCCCCAGTCAAATATCTATGCCTGTCCCCATGAACGATCAAAGTGAACGCTGCTTTGTTTCCCAGGGAGGCTTCCTGGGAGTGTTGGCAGACACTCTTTGCAGGTGGACGGGGCCCAGGGGTCCTGTTACATGTGGTAGGGTGGGCCGGAGTGCAGCCTTTCAGAGCTCCGAGCCTCCTGGGAGTTCTGGGAGCCCCTCCCTTCCTCTTCTCTCCAGGGGTTGAGGACTGATGGGGGCTCAGGGCGGATCTTAACCTAGTTTTTGGCCCATGGAGACTCTGCCCCTCCTGAGAGCCCTGTTGTGGAGGTTCCTTTCACTGAAGAGACGGGCTGGGTCACTCGGGCTGCTGGGAATCGTGGGAAATTCTGAACCTGTGTTCCCCAGCCCACGGGAAAGGGTGTGAGCAGGACCGGGCGCCAGCCCCGGGGTGGGCATGGGCTGAGCTGTCTGCCCACGCGGGCCCTGCCAGGGCACTAACAGCCCCACCTGCTGCATTCCTGAGCTTGGCCCCAACCCTGCACAGCCTCTTCTGACCTTGCCCCACACCTGTGCCTGCTGGGAGCCATTCAGCCCCCTTCTCTCGGCCTACTCCCACCTCCCCATCTGAGCACACCTTTCCCTGGCTACCGAGTCAAAGCCCAGGGGGCAGTAGAAGACTTGGGATCTTCCTAGTATATGTGCAGTATACCTCTGTGTGTGTCAATGTTTGTGTTCTTGTGTTGCTTGCTATGGCTGACTCCTGGGCTCCTTGGCCCCATGTGGACCTCATGCCTGGCCATCCTTGATGAGAATGCAAAGTTTACCAAGAATTAATCCGGCCAGGAGGTAGGCTGTCCAGGGGCAGAAGTGACTGCCTCTTCCTAGTTTGGGGAGCAGAGTTAGGATTTAAAACTTGGCCCCTGTCTATTGCTTCCTGCTCCCTCCATTTCACTAGGTGTTGGAAGGCCTGCCTTCGTTTGGAAAAAAATGAATGAGATCATGTCTGGGGTGGATCATGAACTCTTAAGGGATGGGCCCAGGTGGGTGCGTGTGTAGTGTCTGAGGCTTGAGGGCTAGCTGTGAGGCTCGAGGGGGTTGGGGAGCTGGAGGAGTGGAGACAGTTGGCAAACACATGGTTCTGTAACACTGGGATGTCCTCTCTTACTCTGCTGGCCTCAGCAGGCCTGCTGCTGGGTCTCTTGGTGTCTTTGTACAAACTGGAAAACAGCGTCCCTTATTCTGGGTGGATTCAGCCTGTGTAGCTTGGCAGGCACAGCAGAGGCTGGATTTCAGACCTCGTTGTGCGGGGCACAACCTATACAACACATGCAAGGCCCTGGGTGTGGGCCTTGGACCCCTAGTCCAGAGAGCACCGGATGTGGGATGAATGTCTCTGTCTTTCGAAATTCTTGGAAACAGCATGGTTAATGGGTAGAGAAAGAGCAGTTATTGCCCTCTTTCTCTGAGGGCAACCTGTTGTTGAATGGGGGAGACCAAGATAGAAGCACGTGGCATTTCCAGAGTTGGGTGACATGAGGATCCGGGAGTAGGGAGAAAATGAGCATCCAAGCTCAGGCTGGTCTGGAGGACCAGTCTTTCCCTTAAGTTCTTCGAGGGGCTCCAGATCAGCCCTGCGTCTCTCCACCGCCCTGGACAGAGTTCAGAAGTGTTCCTGCACTTTCACCTTTGGCGCACACCCTGTCCTGCATCGGGCACCCTTGGGAGTCTCTGAGGTCTCCCCACCTGGCAGTGGGTATGGTCACCTGGAAGGGAGATTGGATGTGGTTACCGTAGCCATTTCCCTTCCGGTGAGAGCTGGCAGCCTCACCAGTTAAAAAGAGGAGAAGCTAGGTCTGGTCCAGTGCCGTGCTGCTGGGCAGGTGGCCCTCCCTCTCTTCCCTAGGTGTAACTGACAAGCTCCAAGGTCTCCCTCCACCCCCAGGTTCCTGAGTTGGGGCCCGCTAACCCTGCTCCATCTCTCCCCAGGAATGCTGTTCTGAATGCCTGACTGCCTCGCCCCGAAGGATGGCCTCGGATGGGCGTTAGAGGCACAGCGGCCCCGGGCTCCTGTCCCGTCCGTCTGTCTGTTATCGTCTGTCTCTCTTGACATCACCGCAGCTCCACCCCCTCCCGTCCCAGCCCCCAACGCCAGCTTCCTGCAGGCCCAGAGCCGGCATGAACTCTCCCACCGAGTCGGGTAAGAGTTGGGAGGCTGGAGAAGGCACCTGGGGTGGCTTTGGATGTAATGGGCTGTATGGGTATATCCACCCCAGGCGAGCTGGTCTTCAGGGTCTGAGCCATAAGAGAACGAGGGGTCAGGAGTGGAGAAGCATGGTGAGAAAAGGACAGAGGCAAGCCCAAAGTGATTGACTAAGGGGTAGACCTGAAGTTGATGGTTGATGGTCCAGCCTGGCCCTGGGAGGGCATGAGTCCAACTGTGATCCCAGGCTGGCCCTCTCGACTCAGGGGCTGTCAATTCCATGCCACCCTGCCCCTGTTCACCAAGACAGGCAGGGGTGAGGGGGCTGTGTGCCCCTGGACCCCTCCGGGAGGTCTGGGGATGATGTTGGAAGAAGATCCCTCTGATAGCTGAGTGCCCAGCTTCCTTGTCATGGTGGTGTCCTTTCTTCTTGCTGAAGTTCCATACTCTTTTCCACAGTCTGTGTTCCATAGTCTTTTTCTCGGTGGAGGTTTGCAAGGCCTCCAGCCTTAGCCTGTGCTGGGATGAGTGGTATTGGGGTGAGGGGTGGGCAGTGACACGTTGGCAGCTCTCTCCTTTGAGTCCAGGTAGACTTGCCCTGGACAGGGAAGATTCTTAATTTGGGGTCTCCAACCCTGAGATTTCTTATTCCCCTCTGCTCCTATGAGCCTGCCTAGTGCTGCCAGAAATAGTCTGTGGGTGGGACTCCAGGCAGCTTTGTGCACGGGTGAGTCTGGATGTGTGCCCATGTGGATGTGTCCAAGTGGCCTGAGCTGGACCCTCAGGGGTTTCACAGGAGGGTCATGGGTCAGTGTGGTCAGAGTAATAACTGCTTTCCCTCCTTGGCTGTCTCCTTCTGCACAGACTTAAAAGGGTCAGAGTCCATCTTGCTCAACTTTAACCACCACCACCCTGCCCCCCCCAGCCCTTCCTATTACATCTTTTTCTGCAGGGGTGGGAGATACCTTTCACTCTTTTAGAGACAGAGAAACTAGGGCCTGGAGACTGAAACCGGTTAGCAGGATGGTGCAAAGCAGGATCAGGGAGGAGTCGAGACCCATCTCATTCCCCGTCATCATCACTGTGCTCGATCTGGTGGCTTCCTGTCGTGAGGACCGCGTGCTGGTGACGTGTGGCCCTGACCACAGTCCCGGGGCTTCCAACAGATTCAGGGAAGCCAGAAGCTGGTGGGATTGGTTGTCTTTGTGACCTTTGTTTTGGTTAAGGCTGTGCCCCCTCCTTTTGCCCTTTGTATCGTGACATCGTCCGGGCACAAGACAGAGTAGAGTGCCAGCTGGGGAAGGCTGGGCTCCTGAGATTCACCAAGTCAGCTTTGTCGATGGGCCCCCTCGTGCCGGGATTGTGGTCCCCGCTCCGAACCGCCTGCCAATGCCTGCCTTCATTTCCCCTACAGGGGCCCTGCCAGGCGTTAGACGTAGAGAGGTCTGTGTGACTCTCGTGCTGGAGGGTGGGCTGCCCTGACTTCCTGCTTCTTCCTACAAGGCTGGGCTGGCGAAGGGGAAGGAGAGGCCTGGTGGGTTCTCAACTGTTCCTTGGCCATCAGCTGGATGCTGCCCCTCGCAGGGTCGGTTGTACCTAACAGGAGTGCCAATTGCTTCTTTCCTCTGAGCTACAGCACTGACCTGTTTGGGAGCCATATCTAGTCATACAAGGCCTGGCATCTAACTGTTGGCCAGGGGAACGGGAGCTCGCCAGAGGCATCTGTTGGTGGCTCCCGAAGGACATTTTCCAGCTTTGAGATTTCAGTGCCTTACAGTGAAAGGCTAAGATGATCAGCCTCGGCTGATCAGGTCAGTGGGTTGTCTTTCCAGATGCAGGTGGGCCGAGTCCTCCTTGTAGCCGCTTGGCCCAGAGCTGGCAGCGGCTGGAGGGGTCCATCAGCCCTGAGCCTGGCCAGGAGGGGCCCATTGAATTGACCGCGTCTCCTGGCTGGCTTTCTCGCTCCCCCCAGCAGGGGGAGATGCCGTCTGCTCGCTTTCAGCAAGGAGGGAAAAGGACAGGGGGCGAGAGATTGGAAAGCTGGTTTTAGGACTGTTGCCAGGCTCAGACTGGGATCATTGTTCAGGGGCAGTGTTCCGAGGCCCTTCCTGCCGAGTTTTTCTGGGGCTCCAGGCCTGCCTCTCCCGGTTGTGGAGTTCCAGCTGCTCTGACCGGGGGAGAGGGCCAACTTCTGCACAGCATCCCCCATCGAGGGGCCCAGCATCTGCCATTCCCACAGCGCAGGGTGGCATCTGGACTGAGGCTGCGGGTGCCGGGCACCTGGCAGAAGCCTGGAAACTGCTTGCCTGAACTCCACGGAAGTCCAGTGAAACCACGAATTGTAACTGGGTGTCCCTCGCAAGGAGCTTAGGAAGAGCATGAGGCCGCAGGCCTGGGGCTAAAGGTGGGGAGGAGGAGAGTGGTTAGTTCCCTGGGTCTCTGAGCACCCCTCACCCTCTCCCAAGTCCCTGAAGACTCACCCCTCTCTCCCTCAGGGCTCAGAAGGGCAGGCCTGGGTGAGGGGCAGTTTCTCTCCTTTTGTCTCAGGGTAGGAGCTTTCCTGTTTGGAAGAGAAAAGTAGGAGATGATCCATCCCTGCCCTCACAGTGGACAAGTTAGTGAGAGAGCGTCTTCCGGGTGAGGGGTGGCAGGTGGAGATCTCCAGAGATTTACTTCTGGGGCTCCCCAGTCCTCCCCGAGGAGTGGGAGCTGATCCACTTCCCTCTGGGCTGGGCCGGATGCCAGCACCTGACCTGATTTGCCTCTTTTGCAGTCCTGGGAGGACAAGCAGAGGCCATTGATGGGGCTGCCCGCTTCCCTAAGGAGGCCGCTGCCTGGTATCTGGCTTCTCTTTAGGCACAGGGAAGCTTGAGGAGTGAGGTGTCATTTTCATTCCTGCTGCCATCAGTAGGTGTGAAGGACTGACAGGATGTGCCCCCTGCCAGCCTGGAGGAGCTACCCGGGGCCTGGGCCCACTCTGGTCCCTCACTGCCCTGTCCCCCGTGCTGTGGCCAAGAGGCGTGGGCACGGAGAAGGCCTGCCCCTTGAGCCAGTCTAGATGGCGACAGGGCCCCAGGAGGAGGCGGCCGGGTTCCTTAGCCCCAGCGTGGGAAGGAGACAAGCTTCATGACAACACCTGCCTGCCCAGCACCTCCCAGCTCGCTGCACACTTTCTCTCCTTCCCTTTCCTGACTGCCCCCTCCTTTCTGGGTGACCAGAGAAACTGGGGCATAGGCGTGGGGTGGAGCCAGGAACCTCGGCATCCTGCCTCCCAGCCTCAGGCTCAGCCTCTGCCTCTGCGCCCCCGGGGAAGGAGGAGAAAGTGGGTCAGAGGTGTCATGGGGCGGGGGTCTGGGAGGTGGACTCTGGTGTCCCTTCTCCACTTCGATGCCCCCTGCCATGCCTCTGAACTCGTTGTGGACTGAAATCGGCGCCACCCTCCCCTGTCCTACCATTCCAAAGGGATTGAAGGCTTAGCATGGAATGGTCCGAGGAGGCAGGGTCAACCCCGAGGGGATGTGGAAGATGCCACAGTAGGTGTTCACATTTTCCCTAGGCTGGGTCTCAAATGAGAGGGTTCAGCCAGCACCCAGCATGGGACCTGGCACATGGCGGCTCCTGGGCCATGCTGACAGGCTCCAGCATGACTGGACTCTGAGGGCAGGGGAGAACGGGAGGGCAGGCAGGCCTGCCTCCAGGGCCCCATGGCAGTTGCACCCTGCACTCCATCCGGGGTACCCCCCCGCCACCAGCCCTCGGCTTTTATACTCTTCACAAAGCAGATTTTGCTTTCTTCCTTACAGTCAGGGCCCCACCCAAGCCTTTTGGGCCCAGAAGGTGGGAGCCTTCATGAGCTCAAGGAGCCACTTTAGATTCTCCTTCTCCACATTTAAAGGGTTAGGAGGCCTGAGCCTAGCCTCCGAGGGAGGGAGGGAGCAAATGAGGTCATGGTGGCTCTGGAGGGGATGGTACCTGCTTTTCATGAGGCTACTGTGACCCATTCTTGGTGGGTGCTCTGTAAGATCAGTGGGGTGACACATGCATGGGAGAGCCGGGGGGGCATGGAGAAGAGACATGAACCCCAAGGAGAGGAGCTATAAAGCAGGAAGGATTGAGGTTAGACGTTAGGAAGGTGTTGCATCACTTGAACCTCAAAAGAAAAAAAAGACACTTGTCCCCATCCCAGGCCTCCTCTCTTATTGCCCTGGAGGATTCTGGGAACTACGCTGAGGATCGTCTGGCTGTGTCTGACACTTTACTTCCCACTTCAAGCTGTTGCTGAAAGTTGTAGTAGTGCTGGGAACTGCCCTGAACCCCTGGCTTTGGCCACCTCTGGGTGCCCAGCCTCCCGGGGGCTCCCAGCTTCCCTAAACAGGGAGCTATGTTTCCTTAGGGTTCTGACTGCTCCATGTTCTGGGGGCCCTGCCTTTTGAGTCATTGTAACTGATGATTTCCTCTCTTCCAGAACAGGGTTCCCCTACCACACTCTCCTATGCCTGGGGCAGGCAGAGAGAGAGCCAGGACAGGGCTAGCCAGCCCTTCTGGTTGCTTTCAGCGTGGGTGGGTGGAGTCTTGGCTGGGATGGGCTGCTGCCCCCAGCTTTCTGGGCTCCCTTGAGACTGCTGCCTGTCACCCTGCTAAGGAGACCTTGACCTTCCCTCCCCTTGCTCTCTGGGGAGCCTGGTTGGCCAGGATGAGTTTGGGGCACAGGGTGCTGAATGGAGTCCCCAGACCTACCCTGAAGTGTCCACCAACTCCAGACCCCTGTGGGGAGCACTGCTCCATCACGTTTTCTTGAGTCTGTCCTGACGAAGAAGCTGAGGCCCAGAGCTTTCTTTAGCTCCTGTTAACCTCCAGCTTCCCTCGTACCCATCTTACCAGTCAGCCTAGCGCCTGGGACAGCCCACCTCTGCCGCGTCCCCATCCATGTGATCTCCCCACCTGAGAGCAGGAGGCCCCTTTGCTGTCCCCAGCTGGCAGGAGCCACATCTCTTGTGTCCTTGGTTGGCCAGCTCCTCCTGGGCTCCCGACAGGAGGGTGAGGTCATCCAGTCCAGAGAGAGGACAGGTGTCCCTGGCTCCATGCCTAGAGTTGGGGGCAAGGAGGGGCCAGGAGGGGGCTCCAAAATAGCAGCTGTGACATCAGGAAGGGGGAGGGGGACACAGACCCAGGAATAACCGGGCTATTAAAAGGCTCCACTGAGGTCGGGGGCCAAGTGGGATCTCTGTATCAGTGGGAGGCACAACCTCAGGAGGAGCGATGGGCCACCAGTGGGGAGCGTAGGTGAGGGTATCACCGGTCCTCGTGGCGCACCAGTGTCAGGTCCCAGCAGGGCCTCAGGAGGGGGCCCTGCTCTGCCAGGCCTGGGGCTGATGGGGAAGGGCTGGACGCTGGCAGCCCCTCAACTCTTCTTAAGGGGCTGCAACCCCAGGTCTCCTCCTACCTGGGTCCTGGTGGGGAGTCATTGTACCTGTTACTGGAAACCCTGGGGCAGCTTCATGTGCCCGCCATGCAGGAAGCAGGGGCTGTGGTGGTTAGAGCTCAGACATGAACTTCAGATGTCCCAGCCCTACCATTCAAGCGCCTGTATGACCTGAGTGACTGCATCTCTCTGTGCCTCTGTTTCCCTACCTGCACCTCTCTCCCGAGGTCATCGTGCAGAATAAACGAGGTGACCTACGTGCTACTTAGCATTGTACTCGCCTCGGGAAGAGCTGCCTGTGCTCTGAGCACAGGCAGGTGCTCCCAGGTTCCCCTCCCTGGGTGGGGTGAGGCCTGTCCCTGAAGGGTCTCCCTGCCCCCTGGAAGGAAGCTGAGCAGCCTCTGGAAGCGACACCCCAATAGGTAGGAGGGAACCACCATTTAGCTGTGCTCAGGGGTCTCCTTGCTGGTCGAGGGGGGCGGGGAGGCACCTCCCAGTTCTGAAAGAGGGCAGAGGGTAAATCAGCTCCCATTGGCTGTTAGAGGAACTCCCAGGTAGATGCACGGTTTGGCCTGGTGGCCCTGTCTGCGCACCTATCTCAGACCCTTCCCGTTGCTTTATCTGCTTTGGATGGTGCGAGGGAACGTAGAGGATGGAGTCGGGCTTTGGGGGCTCTAGCTCCTTGCCTGCCAAGAGCAGTCCCAGGGCTACTCCCAGATGTGTGGCTATTCCAGCCCGAGCCCTGCCCCAGCGCAGCCTCTGGCCACCCGGCTCTGTGGCCTTGGCCCTGAGTGTAGGCTCTTCCCGGTTCCCATCCCCCTCCCTGGCGCTTCCTCCTGGGGTGGAACGCGCCTCCCCCTCCCCCCCCCCCCAATGGGGCCTCCGCCAGGCCCGGGCTCCTGGCAGCCAGCCGGCGGCTCCCTGAGCATGCTCCACCTATTTATAGACAGGGCCCTCCCCCAACTGCTATTTCAGTCTCCTGCCAGCTGCCGGCGGCTCATTCGGGAAGGAGGAGCAGGGAGCCGGGCCCAGAGCTGTCACCCAGGGCTGGGAGGGAACACAGAGAGCCCGCCTGCCTGCCCAGCTCCCCTTCCTGTCCCGAGTGCTCAGCCAGACCCCACTCCTGGGAGCTTTGGAGAGGCCTGTGGTCGGATGCCCCTCTAGAGGGGCGCTGGGCCTGTAGCTCTGGGACTCCTGGCTCCTCCTGCCGCCAGGAGTGCCCAGGCCGGATGAAGCACCTCCCCATCGCGCTGGTCCCAGCAGCCGTGGCTTGAGGGAGCCCCCGAGCAGCCGCGAGGGCCCCGCCCGACCACCTTCCCTGTGGCTGACTCCCCGCCTCGGGCGGCCCCTCCTGGGCATGCTGCTAGTGCCCAAGGCTCAGGGGCTGGTGGAGATGCTGCAGACCATCTATGAGACGGAATCCTGTTTCTCAGCAGATGGGATGCCAGGCCGGGAACCAGCCTTGGAAATCCTGCCTCGGACCCCTCTGCACGGCATCCCTGTGACAGGTAAGTGCCTCCGTGTCCCCGCCTGCCCTCTGCCATTGGGCATCCTCGTCTCTGTGGCTGAGTGTCTGGCTCCAGGTCTCACCCAGGTGGGGTCCTGCCTAGATCTTCCTGGAGGTCTTTATTGAGAATATGTGCAGTCAGGGAAGGTGTGCTCTCTGAGGTGGGCTTCCCTGCTCTCCCAGACCTGCCCTCTCACCACGCCCTCCAGCTGCACTGCGCAGCATCTCTTTGGCTGTTGGCAGGGTCTGCATCCACTGCTGGGGGCTGTGGATTACTAGACGATCCTGGCCTAGTTGGCACCATGGTCAAGAGGTTAGGAAGTGGGTCAGTGACCTGCCTCCAGGCCGTCTGCTTCCGAGGTGTGGATGAGAGAAGAAACTAGAGCCAGAGTGTCCATAAGAATAAAGGCTTCCCCACCACCACCCTGCCAACTCCTCTGGTGGGTTCTTGGGGTCAGAGGGTCCATTGCAGTGATTCCTGCTGGTCCACAGGTGGGAGTGTCCTGGGAATCAGACACCTGGGGAGGAGGCTTATCCAGTTCTGGTTGAGTTAGGCAGAGGCTGGCAGCTGGGATGTTGGGGGCCTTGGCTCCCTTGACCACCCCCACCCCCCATATCTCTCCTTCCCCCAGGCCTTGGTTTATTATCAACACATGAGGATGAAGGAATGTTACTCAGGCTCACAGGGCTTGAGGACTCCCTAACCCTGCCCCCTTCTCAGCAGGGACTCTTGGCTGGGGGTGGGATCCCTCAGGGCTGAGCCACTCCCTCTCTCCCTCCCAGGAACCTGTTGGCATCATCAGGCCTTCCTGGCACAGCCTCCCCACCAGGCCGGCACCACCAGATGCTTCCTCTAGGGAGGGGCCTGCTGGACCCATGCCCGCTTGGCCCCTCCTGGCAGTGGCTTGGCACTTTTGTGTGGGTGTCTGTGTGTGTATGTATAGGGAGTCTTTGCCTCTGGGTAGGTGGGTGTGGGTCCCAGGCTTTGGATCAGAAGGTGGGAGCCATGTGCCTGCACAGGCACCCGTGACTTGGCTCTAAGCTGTCCAGGGATAAGGTTGCAGCTGGACTGGGATGTGTCAGAGGATGAAGGTTTGGGGAAGATTGGAAAACCCTTCAAACAAGGCCAGCCATCTGCCTGGGCAGGGATGCCCATGCGGTCTCCTAAGGTCATGGCATAACCCTGGGGACTAGCCCTGAGGGTGCCTGCTGTGCTGGCTTCTGGGATGGGACTGGAACCCTGGGGCCAGCGGTGCAGAGTCTGTGCATAGTCCCCTGGGAGGGGTGTAAACATGGGGTCCAGTCTAGCCTTGGTCCAGTCGAGCCCACAGCTCTAGCTAAAGACCCTATCTGCTGACTTCTACCTTGAAGCTCCTGGGAGTCAAGGTGGTCTCTTGGAGAGCAAAGGGCTGACTGTGCAGAGCATCTCTGCTTGGGGGGCGGCTCTACCCCATTTGGCAGACGCCGTATCAGTTCACCCATCTGCTCTGTCCCCACCGTTCTTGCCTTCCAGAAGCAGTTGGCCGTTGGCCTGAAGTTTCCTCCTCAGCATGTCCTCTCTTCTTTCAAGTTGGACCCCAGAATCCTTGCAGGCTGGATCCCTGCTGCCCCCATCCTTTCCTAAAGGCTCCCCATCTCTGCATAGACCCCCCCTGGCCCCCGCAGCCAGTCGGCTCTCTAGATCCCTGTGGGCCCCCCCACCCCCCGAGGCCAACACACACACCCTGCCTAGCCTTCTGCGCGGTGGCGTGGTCCATGCTGGCAGGAGGGAGGCGTGAGTCACCTCGGCGGCTCGGGGAGAGGGCTGAGAATGTTCCCCCGGTGCAGCTCTGATGCTGTGTCTGTGACGCGGCTGGGGACAGATATAGGCCTGGATCTCGGCTGCCTTGTTTTTTTTTTGGACTCTGGAATGTAAATAGATGTTTCAAATAGAAACGCTGTAACCTTTGGGTTAAAAAAAAATCCACCCCGGATAAACAGGGCCATGAGGGCCCAGGCAGCCTGGTGTTCCCCCCACTATCCCATCCTCCCTCCCCACCCCGCCCCCTCTCCTCATCTCTTGATCAGTCTCCAGACAGGATGCAAAAGCCTGTGGCTAAAAAAGCAGGTGTCCAGGAGCACTTGGTGGGCAGTGTGTGCCGCCAGGCCTCCCCGGCCCTAGGGTTTGAGGAAAGGGGGCTTTCCAGGCTGGGTGTCTGCCCTGAGCTCTTCGCCCACTCCAGCAGCAAATCTTCGGAAGCCTACTTGAGGGGTATCCTTGGCTCTCTGGACTGTCCTTGTGCACTCTTAGCACGGTGCCTGGCACATGGATGAATGAATGCTGCTTGAGGGGGCTGGCATCCAGGGTTGGTTGATAGCAGGATCCTTGAGCTCTATTCTCGGGCTTGGCCCTCTGGGTGAATAGATGGATATGGTAAGTTGCCCCAGTGGGTGAGCCAGAGTCTTGGCAGGCGAGCCCACGAAGGATGCGGGGCGCTCTCCACTGTTCCTGTTGAAGGAGGGGGACACACCACAGCTTCCGCTAGTGCCGTCAGGGCTTCCCTGATGGATGGGGTCTCTGCCTGGCTCCCCCACCCCAGCCCACAATGGGCACCCTTCTCATCCAGGCTTGGTCTCGGCTCAGGAAGCCCAGGAGATTGAACTCTGGGTGTGGGATTCCCAGGGACGCGGTGCTGGGGGTTCCCCTGCCTCCCTTCTGTTGGGCCTTGGATTTCCCTCTGGCCTGGATTGGGCAGAGCTGCTGCTTGGGCAACGTGCAGGATGTTAAAAGCAGGCATGGAGGAGGAGTTCTCTTTCCCTAGTGAGGGAGGGTGTGAATTCCGCTTATGCCGGGAAGGGATGCTGTGGATGTTGGGAAGTGCTGTGGGGTTTGTGTTTGGTATTGGGGTTTCCCCTAGATACTCTTTTTTTTAAAAAACAGATTTATTTATCTATTTGACTGTACCAGGTCTTAGAGCATGTGAACTCTTAGTTGCAGCATGTGGGGTCTTTTTCCCTAACCAGGGAGGGAACCCAGGCCCCCTGCATTGGGAGCTCGGATACTTAGCCACTGGACCACCCCCTGGATAGTCTTGTCCCCTCGACATTCTTGTTCACATTCTTCATAGCATTCCAAGCTTGGCTAGGTAGGTGGGTGTGTAGGTGTCGGGGTGTGGGAAGATCGAAAGGGCGAAACTAGGTGGGAAGGAAATTAATATTATAATGTACTAAATGATGGGTATCGGTGCTTTCCTTACTTGTTTCCTTTGGAAAGGTATTAATAGTTACGTTTTACAGCTGAGAAAGATCTGAGAGGTTATGGAACTTGCCGAAGGTCACAGAGTAAGTGACTTTGGGCTTTGGACTTGGGTTTTTGTGTAGGGCCACCGCTAACCTACACCAAGAGCTTCCCTGTGCAAATTTTAAAAAGGCAGCCTTTCTTCCAGGTGGCTATATAGTCATACCAGAGTGGATGGCTTAGCGCGCTTGGAGCATGGACTAGATTTCAGCCCCCAATTTGGCCCTTCAGTTGGGGGCCCTTGTACAGTCACAACCCGAACCACCGGACGTGGTGGGCCTGTCTTTGTGCTCCCGAAGTTTGTGCTCCTTGACATGAGAGACCAGTCTGGCCTTGGGGACTCCCGAGGTTTCTGAGAGGAGACTCTTCTCTAAATCTTGGGGGCCACTGGATCAGCTGTTTTCTTCCGTGTAAGGACTTCAACCCAAGGGAGAGAAACGGGCTCAGGAACAAAGTTGAACACCCTGTCCCATTCAGACAGTCTCCCCTGCCCCCATCCCCTCCTACCTCGTCCCCTCCTCTTGTTTCTGAGACCCTCAGCTGTCCCTTCCCTGGTGCACAGCTGCCAGACAGGAAATCAAATTAACTGTGTCCACGCACACAGCTGTAATAGCTGTCAGCTTGGCAGCAGAAATGAGTGTTGCCAGCCGGGGGACACTGTGAGAAAGTAGTTCTCAAACTTCAGTTGCCACAGAATTACCAAGCGGATATGTTAAGATGCAGATTTCCAAACCATACCACTCCCCCCAACCCAAGTTTCAGATTCCACTGGGCGGCCCAGGAACCAGCATTTTTAACACATCTCAGATGATTCCGATGTGAGTAGGTAGGCTCAGATCATGCTTGGCGTAAGGGCTTTGTGGACGGGTTGTGGGGCCTAGCAAGCCTGCCAGTGGGTGTCGCCTCTCTGCCTAGAAGGCCTCGATGAGCTTTGGGACTCTTGGGAGAAGGGCTTACAACAGAGGGATGGAGGCTTTTGCCCTGGTCAGAGTCAAATCCAGCCCCCATCAGCCTGGCAATCTGGAGACAGAGGGCATCTTGAGACCCTGGGGAGCAGGTGTCTAAATGCTAGTGGGGTTGGGGATTATGGCAAGTGGCCAGGGGCACAGGGCGCCCTGCTGGATGCTCAGGGCTGGACTGTGGTTGCGGAGGAGAGGCAGAGCTCCTGCCCCGGGACCCCTGCTGGCCACCCCAGGTGTGGAGCAAGCAGTCCCAGCAACAGCTGCAGACTGAATGTCTTTAGTGTGCGTTTTAATTGCTTCTAGGGCAGTGCCCAAGTGGTTCCTGAAAATGGCTGGGCTGAGAGAAGTGAATCTACTTCTCCTCCAGGGAGCAGCCCAAGACCAGTGACTCCTCTTGTCTCTGCTAGTGAGAGATGATTTGTGCCTTCCGCCAGGGCTCTAGTCAATCCTAAAGGAAACCAACCCTGAATATTCATTGGAAGGACTGATGCTGAAGCTCCAATACTTTGGCCACCTGATGCAAAGAGCCGACTCATTGGAAAAGTCCCTGATGCTGGGAAAGATGGAGGGCAGGAGGAGAAGAGGGTGACAGAGGATGAGATGGTTGGATGGCATCATGGACTCAATGGACCTGAGGTTGAGCAAACTCCGGGAGATAGTGAAGGACAAGAAAGCCTAACATGCTGCAGTCCATGGGGTTGCAAAGAGTCGGCCACGACTGAGCGACTGAACAATAACAACATCCAGGGCTCTGCATCCCTT